TGTATGTTCCAAAGAAACTGTGGTTATGACAACCTCGCCTGACGTTCCCAAAATTGTTAAATCCCTTCTTATTCCACACGCCCGACTTTACTCCCACAATTAAACATACAGAAAAGTTTTTTTTTAAATGAACTCTTTCACACAACCACTTCTACTCCGAATACAATTCATTCCGAAACTTTCGAACGTTCACGTTGTCTTTTGACCTTCCCTTTTTTCCGTATCGAAAGAATAAGGCACAGGTCTCCCGCAATTAAAAAAATCCTTTTTGTACTCAATTTTCCATCTAGAAAATGGCGTTTCCAATAAAATACAAACTACATCATACATAGGAAACATTTCTACAATTGTTATACAAAACAATATTAACAAAGAACCATTATAATCGTGCACTGGGCGACGCGTATCGTAGAAACTGTTAAAGGCAGGTGATGAGCGATGCTGTTTCAATTTCTGCGTCACTCGTTCCCTCACGCCGTAGTTTAATTACGTGTTGGCCGCCTCGTTCCCATGACAACCGCTGTAAACAACTCTACGAAGACAAGCAGAATACAGACTGATTTCAATCTGTCACTTGCGTATACTATACGTTGTATGTTCCGAGGTTGATGTTCGCGCTCAACGAAGGCAATGTTTTTTTTAGATGGCGTTCACCGCGCAACTATTCTGTTTATTTCAGCGTATTAAACAAACAAACACAATACATTTTCAATATAGAATTATACCTAAATTATATTTTAGGTGAAGCGGTGCGTCACTTGCGTTACCTGACGAGCCGCCACTGTAGGGTGGCGGCTCGTCAGGTAAAATGATATCAAAAAAGTAACTCGAAACAAGTAAGGCTAAGTTGGCAAATTGCCAATAACGAGATTACTCCAGTCGGGTTAGACAAAAAAAGGGCTTAACCGGGAAAAAATTAAGGACCACAATTTTATTATTCTAACCTTTAGGGGGGTCAATAGTAGTGTAAATTCAGAATCCCTGCGTCAGCCGCCATCTTGTTTAAGGAAAAATCGTTTTTGCTCAATATCTCGGCAATTTTCAGCTTTACAACAAAAATGGTAAGGACTTAAGTTGTTGCAAATGCGATTGCCTACAACTTCATTTATTACAAATTTTATCGTGCGATCGATATTTTTCAAGTTAAGGGGGAAAATAGTGACAAAATATAATTATTGAATTATCTCGTTTGTTATTGACTATACGACATAAATGTACATAAACAAAGTTGGAAAGAATTATATTTTCTACAATTTTGATCTCTTTGATTTTTTCACTACTACCAATATTTAAGGTCCTACGCTTGCGGTAAAGACGCGAGCGTAGGACCTTGCGGGAGTTGGTTTCAAAGGAATTGTTTTTGCTCAGTATCTCGGCCATTTTCAACTTTACAACAAAAATGGTAAGGACTTAAGTTGTTGCAAATGCGATTTTCTTTCATTACAAATTATATCGTGCGATCGATATTTTTCAAGTTAAGGGGGAAAATGGTGACAAAGTATAATTATTGAATTATCTCGTTTGTTATTGACTTTACCACATAAATATACCAACTTTGTTTATGTACATTTATGTCGTAAAGTCAATAACAAACGAGATAATTCAATAATTATACTCTGTCACTATTTTCCCCCATAACTTGAAAAATATCGATCGCACGATAAAATTTGTAATAAAAAGAAGTTGTAGGAAATCGCATTTGCAACAACTTAAGTTCTTACCATTTTTGTTGTAAAGTTGAAAATGGCCGAGATATTGAGCAAAAACGATTTTTCCTTAAATATGGGGTGGAATTCAGTCGCGATTCTGAATTTACACTACTATTGACCCTCCCCCCCTCAAGGTTAGAACAATAAAATCGTGGTCCCTAATTTTTTCCCGGTTAAATGACAACCCGACTGGGCTAGATACCTAAAAAAAATCCATCAAAATTGACCGAGCGGTTCTCGAGATAGAGACCGAACCGAATTTGAAATGTGGAATGCAAAAATATCGCACGCCACAAGGGCGGCGTTCACGCACGTGCGTGGGTGCGACGTTTCTTCTTCCACGCGCAGGCCGTTCATTAACGTTAACTTTTACTGCTGCTACGCGTTTATTACATGAACTATCAATGTAAAACCTTTGAAAATATAAGTTTTATCTTTTCGACTCTAAAATCCCGGTCCGATATGTCCAATAGTTAATTAACAATTAACGTTATAAAAAAAGATACATTGGGAACAGACAGGCGTAGGTCATTACTCTTTTTTTAAAATACCGTAAAAGTGAGCTCTATTTAATGCAAAAAGAGAGAATTCTCGAGCGGTTTTTGCCTGACCCTGGGACAAAACTGATTTTTCCACGTCCGACCTATATTTACAGTTATAATAGGTGAAAAGTGACTTCAGGTACCTTAATTTGTAGGTAATTTAATTGCCTACAACATAAAACAATTAATTTTCCGATATGTCGCCTAGATTTTCATAGACAGTAAAAAAGTGAAATAACATGTGATTTTGCAACTTTTTGCAATTTGCCAACTTAGCGTCACTTCTTTCGAGTTACTTTTTTAAAATTATCATTCTGTATATCCTTCCTCATCATAAAGTGCAATAACATGTCTATTAATAAATTTTTCACGTTCAAACTCTAATTCGACTGGAGTGCAATCGTTTTGAATTTTGCAGTTGGTATCAAAATCGAAGTGCAGCGTATCCTAACATTATTAACAAAATGCTATGGATGGATAAGTGTTTTTTTAGCCGCGCTGGCATTTTAAATAGGTAGGGGTAGTATGGTAACACTACCTTTGAGCAATAAGTCACTAGCTATAATGAATTTGTTAACAACATTTCTTAAAAACCGATGCGCAACAAATGTGATTATTTCAGTGAATAATAACGTGCTGAACATTGCTCAATGGAGGCAACGCAATTATCCATTCCACATTTATGCGTCTGTTGATTGATATATTTCAAAATTTAACAACTGATTCAGTATTTTCAGTAGCTGACTCTGCTGCTTCAAACGAACGTTTAATTTGCGGCGGTGCATAGTGTGAAAATTCATTTACCTCGAACGTAATTGGTTTTTCATATTTGCTAAATGTCTCTGTAATAATTCACATAATGTTATTCGGTCGTTTTATCCGAAGTCCTACTATGTATGTCATTAATTTATGCTGCCTAATTTATCATATTAATTCTGATATAGCACGTTAGTTACAAGTATCTGTTAGCTACTGGATAGATAATGGATAAATACATAATGTTGTTAATAACTACTGTTTCAGAAATGAAAGTAAGAAATGTTATTGTTTCTACATGTTTTTTTTTTTAATTATGTGTACACTTTTTAATTATTAGTTCTTGTACATGTGCTACACAATAAAAAATGTATTAAAGTAATTCAGATTAATTTTTGAAAATTTCCTAAAATTCTCATCGAAGGTAGTATGGTTCTGATTCTTCATATGGTTCTTTGATAACACACGCATATCCATTCGTAGTTGTGTTGATAAAACAATTAGGCGAGCTACTCTTTAATAATTGCCTAAAAGACAATATATCCAAATGGTGCTAATGAAAAAGTATATTTGTGTCTTATTTGGTATAAAGGTGTATGGCTCAAAATAAAAAAAATCTTATGAGCGTACCCTCTAAAGTGGGTTATAAAGGCAGTGCAGTCCTTTATAGGGGTGAATTAAAAAGTTAAATTTTATTTCGGCACAGTTGTTAATAAAATTTTATAATAAAATATTTCATATTTTTGTTATCAAAAATATTTCCTTGGCAACACTTTACCGCACAAATGGCCCGAAATTCAAATCTTGCGTGAATTTGGGCCCGATACATTGAAAGCAAAATAAATAAAATTGAAACTAGGACTGCAATCACAATTTGAGTACGATTATTTACATAAATTATATTTTGGGGTCAGAATGATTATTGTGGAAAAAAATTTTGTTTAGGCTTGTACAAATTCTTCTTGTTTATCACCTGATCATTTATGTCGTTATTAAAAAAATGTTCGCTATTTATAGCTTATTTTAAAAGTATGTACATTATTTCAAGTAATTTTCATGCCAATTTACATTATAAAAAATTTATGACTTATGGGTTGTTAAGAATGACAATTAAAAAATAAATTGATATGAACTAGTGCTAATGATAACACGAACATTTTTTGTCGGTATGTCACGATTCATACCTTTACGTTAAACGTAAATGAACCTCAAATGTATAAAAATAAATTTGTTTAATTATTTGTAAACATTTTAAGTTTCTATAATTTTTAAAATTCTGCTGCAATCGGGTACCTATACGCAACAGAAAAAGCATAATAATATTAATTGGCAAATTAATACATATCTATCTATCTATCTATCTATCTATCTATCTATCTATCTATCTATCTATCTATCTATCTATCTATCTATCTATCTATCTATCTATCTATATCTATCTATCTATCTATCTATCTATCTATCTAGTGATTCTAGCAGTCAAGATACGAAGCTTTTTGGTAAGTATCTACCTCGAAAAAAGTATTTTGTTATTTTATTAAGTAGATACTATTTGCAGTTAGAAACTTGTAGCACTCTGTGAATTACAGGTGCGAACTTGCAGAGATAAAAGCGAAATATGTATCATTAATCAAATATGAATTCAACTTTGTTAATATAACATTAATTACGTTCTCTACAATTCGATAGTAGTAATATTAGAATGGAGACATTCTAATACTGCGTGAATATGCAGATATTTTTTTCTTTCAAGTAATAATGAATAATTTACATTGGTTATAAGTACAAATTCATGTCAACTACAAAGTATCTTACGTAAATTGCAACAATGTAGTAACATCAAGTTTCAATGAAATTATAACCATGGTTTAGTATTTCCTTCTCGGTCAAAATTCCCTTTGGATTTTATTGAAGGTTTGGACATCAAGGGACGACATATAAAACCGGAAAGTTTTTATTTTAATTCTTTCGGGTCTTTTTCTTTTGTTTTCAGAACTTGATATCGCAAGAAGGACAGTGCCCCATCATATTCTCTTACGTTTGGGTGAGAGACGAGCATAAAAAGACGTGGAGCAAGACCTACATGATACTTAGGGACAAGAAGCTGTTTACCTCCCAGAAAGTAGCCTCCCTGGCGAAGTTCTTCAGATCACCGAAGAATAAGGCCATCGCTATGGTAAGTCAGTTACTGTTTTATTAATATTTTATCCTTAAACGTACAATTTTGGTGAAAAATTGTTAAAAAAGTTGTACTATTTTGGAAGTGCATCTATAAAAATATTTTCTGTTATACAGGGTGTTTAGTTCTACTTAGATACCCAGTTCTGATATAAAATGTAAAGTGACATTGAATTTATTTATTTCTCCTTGACTGTAATAAAATTCGATTCGAAATAGTACACAAAAAAACTAATGGTGATATCTTCTTAATTATAAACTTCGCAGTCTCAAGGAAACCGTATTTAAGGGGTTGTCTCTCTGTCTTAGTAGGTACTAAAGCAGAAACATTTTCTTATTTAATTGCATTGAGTGTTTTATTATTTTTGTCGGGTAATGCTTAAAGTATTAAATGTGAAATATAAACAGCGAAATAATAATATGTAACCTGAGGGATTATTTCTTTATTTATCTATATTCAGGGTGTCCTATAAACACATGATCAAAAAGGTATTGCGATATTCTTTGGCTCAGAAGAAGATGATTTGACCTAACTTCCATTAAGAAAAAATGTCTGGCTCCTCTGATATTGACTGTCAAAGTTCTTGAAAAAAAATATGTTTTTTTGTAATATCTGGAGAATGTTACGATGGATTTTAATGAAACTTGCTGTGGACTTGTTCCTAAGTAAAACTCATGTTTTGATGAAGCAACCTCGGTATTCGAGAGACACGGTGTTAATTAAAAAAAAAATTCTGCCATATCTCATAATGCGCTGACAGAATTGAATGAAATTTACTACCGCCTATTCAATTAATTAGACCTTTTATTGAATGTAATGTTAACCTTGTGGCTTTAACCAGTGGCCTGTTACTGGAGGTGCCGCCCCATTTTCCCAAGAAAAAAATACGCCACTGGCGGTTTTTAGTAGAAATAATGTTACATTCAGGTACTGCTATGTTAAATGAATGAAAAATGTTTCTTGTTGTTTTTTAATAGTAGCAGCCGCTTAGGAGATATTTGGGTTTGTTTTTACGTTTTATTGAATATTTCTAATGAATTAATCCGCTTATTTGATGAAAACCTCCTGGTTTTAACAATTTTATTTCTGAAAAAAATATCAAACTAAATAATAAAATAACATTATCAAATAGGTCGGGTAAGTAATTAAGTCCTACAACAATTGTTCAAAACGAAATCCTTCCGCATCTATACACTTTTGACATCTTCTAATCAGGCTATTTATGGAGGAACTTATCATGGCATGTTTTTCCCTGGGGAGATTACAATTTTCCTCTTTGCNAACCATTTAACATAAAATGAGAGTGCCAGGCTCACCTAGAGCTCCTGTGGGGAAAGAGCATGGCAGAGAAACCCACGATCGTTGCTCTTACCACTATAAACACATGATCAAAAAGGGATTGCGATATTCTTTGGCTCAGAAGAAGATGATTTGACCTAACTTCCATTAAGAAAAAATGTCTGGCTCCTCTGCTATTGACTGTCAAAGTTCTTGAAAAAAAATATGTTTTTTTGTAATATCTGGAGAATGTTACGATGGATTTTAATGAAACTTGCTGTGGACTTGTTCCTAAGTAAAACTCATGTTTTGATGAAGCAACCTCGGTATTCGAGAGACACGGTGTTAATTAAAAAAAAAATTCTGCCATATCTCATAATGCGCTGACAGAATTGAATGAAATTTACTACCGCCTATTCAATTAATTAGACCTTTTATTGAATGTAATGTTAACCTTGTGGCTTTAACCAGTGGCCTGTTACTGGAGGTGCCGCCCCATTTTCCCAAGAAAAAAATACGCCACTGGCGGTTTTTAGTAGAAATAATGTTACATTCAGGTACTGCTATGTTAAATGAATGAAAAATGTTTCTTGTTGTTTTTTAATAGTAGCAGCCGCTTAGGAGATATTTGGGTTTGTTTTTACGTTTTATTGAATATTTCTAATGAATTAATCCGCTTATTTGATGAAAACCTCCTGGTTTTAACAATTTTATTTCTGAAAAAAATATCAAACTAAATAATAAAATAACATTATCAAATAGGTCGGGTAAGTAATTAAGTCCTACAACAATTGTTCAAAACGAAATCCTTCCGCATCTATACACTTTTGACATCTTCTAATCAGGCTATTTATGGAGGAACTTATCATGGCATGTTTTTCCCTGGGGAGATTACAATTTTCCTCTTTGCCACAATTCGTCTCGTGTTCATATACTCAAGATGGACTGCAGCTTTAGGAATAAATAAACAAGGTTAGTTATAATACTAAAACCAGATCATCGTAAAGCTTACTAATTGAGAATGCAGACAAAAGAATCATTTTTTGCTAATGGATTTTAAACAAATATGAGTATCATGACTAAATTTGCGCATTATGGTCAGCAAATAAGTAAAATATCTCCTAAACGCTACTATTAAAAAACACCAAGAAACACTTTTAATTTATTTAACGTAACAGTACCTGAATTTAACACTAGTTCTACAAAAAGCCACCAGTGGCGTATTTTTTTTTGGGGAAACGGAGCGGCACCTTTGGTAGCACGCCACTGGTTAATGCCACGAGGTTAACATTACATTCAATAAAAGATCCAATTAAGTGAATACGCTGTAGTAAATTTCATTCATATCGTTCAGCGCATTATGAAGATATGACAAAAAATATAATTTTTTTTGGAATCACTAACACCCTGTATCTCAAATACCACGCCCCCCAGGATTATTTTTTGGCAACTAATCTATTGCTGTACTTTCTGTATTTAAAGTGAAATCACTCAGTATAATAAAATTAGATTTATGTCTCAAAAAAATTTCAGAAGTGTGTCTTAGTTCTTAGTGGGCCACACTTTACATATAAACAATATATAACTATATATTTAAAATTTTGACCCTTATATTGACAACGAAGTTTTTACGTATTCGAAAAATAAATATTTTTGGTTGTTTAGTATTTAATATTATTTTAGTAGTTATTCAGTAGTTAGAATATTTTATTAGGTTATTAGTCGTCACTCTGTATTCTAATACGTATTACAGATATTTAAAAAGTGGATATAATTAACGATTTTTGTGTTTCTTTTTAGACTGTAAATTAACTGTTTAAAAAAAGGTAAAGGTCATGAAGCTTACTAGCAATTAGGCCCTTTTTGCCTGCTAACTTACACTACCCTCCACGTTAACAATCACAAACATCCATGGGTACGACAGGAAAATTCCTTCGAATTATCCTGCCGCGTGCGGGATTCGAACCCACTCGGTTTTGCCGCACAGCCCTGGTTCGCCTCAGTAGGCAAGCCTTGGCCGCTTCGGCTACCGCCGCGCCCAAAGTAACTGTTTAGTTTCGATCCGAATGTCAAGATGTAGGATTTTTTTTTTGTAGTAAGTTTGAAATCATCACATTCAGTAGCATTGTTTAGCATATTTCCAATGCAAAAACACTTTATTTTGTTGCATCATGTGTCTGCTTACAGTCATTCCGTGTATAATATACATATTACTTTGTTCAACATTTCGTAAATATTTGCTTTATCGTAATAATGGTTAATGTTACCTTGAGGGGCTCTACGTTGCGTGTACGCTGAAGATACACGAGCAATCATACAATGTAGCAAAGTTTTGACCGCTGCGGACGTGTCTGATAGATTATTAAGGATAAGTGAAAATTTATTCCGAAGTTAAGCGAAAATACGTGGGACCATACGTTGCTTTAATTATTTATGTAGAATAAATTTAAAAAAAAATGAAAACTTACAGTTTACCTTTGACGTTACAATGAAATTAACTGTCTCTATGAACATCATTTTTAATTTATTTATTATTGACTGATAAAAATAAAATATAATGTTGAAAATATACCTAAGGGGAAGTTTTTACAAAATGTACAATTTTTTTTATTTAGAAATAAGGTAAGTTATGCAAGAGATATGCAAATCTGTTAGGGGCCTAATAATCTAATTTCATATACTTATTCATATTATTTTCTATGAGTTACCTGCCTTTTGTAGTATAATAACCCCAGGTTCGATCGAAAAAAAATATAAACGTAGTTGTGGCCAAAATATGTGATCGTCATAAGGAATACCTACGTTGTATACATCTATTCTTTTAATTGACCGGAAGGCGCTGGCTACTAACTTTAAAGAGGGGAAGTATGGTTTAATTTTATAAAACAAAATCAGAGTAAATACACCTAACTTTATTATTTATGTACAACAGTCTTCAAATTAAACATGTGACAAATAGAAAGAACAACAGAAATATTAACAACCATTTAACATAAAATGAGAGTGCCAGGCTCACCTAGAGCTCCTGTGGGGAAAGAGCATGGCAGAGAAACCCACGATCGTTGCTCTTACCACCCAAATATAAATACAAAACAACCGCTAATCAAAGGCATAAATTAAGATACTTTGCTAATGATAAATAAGACCTGTCTCATTTAATGTGCCACTAAATGTCATCTCACTCGAATTAGTCATACACACTTCCAGGTAAAACTGAAGAGGCTTGGTGTTAGTTAGCCGGCAGGGCCGGAAGGTACTGGAGTCCCATAATACGGGAGGCAATCCAGCTATAGTTGAGATTTCGGAAGATCCTTCTTAACACTGGAGTCCCATACGGGAGGCAATCCAGCTTAATCCAGATTCGTTCCGCACGGGCGAAAATGTTAGTAAATTCAACAAGGCTCGTATAGACGTATGACATAAAGTGAGCACAAGAAATCAAAGAACAACGTAATCATGATAAAACAGATTAAATGTGAAACAGAAGTCGTTGTTGCAATATCTGAGCAGTCACGACAATATACATATTTTAACATGTAATAAATAATGAGCAATCTTTAATAATAATTGTAACAATTTTATCTTAGAGAAATATACGCCCCTGAGCGTAAGACAATGAAGGCTAAACATACACAGAATTATTATCATGAAACATCTATGTTTTTCGAACAACTTAATCATGACAAAAACAAGTTAGATGTGAAACAAAGAAGTCGTTA